TTAGACAAGGCCCGGTTAATAGACAGTTTACTGCATTTAATAATATGAAGATAACGTACGTAGTTAACATTCAGATCCAAATTTCTTGTAGAGCAGTATATCATTTAATTATTTGCCCACTGCAAGTAAAAAGAACAAGATACTGGTATCAATGATTTCGCTGGACTCTTTTACACGTTAGGTAACGTACCTTAGAAACCTTCCAGAACCTGAGAGGGAATCTCGTCTCTTACAAATGATACATTATTCGAATCAAAGACTAACAAAGCTTATAGATAACAATGTGGGATTTTCAGACAAAAAATGCGAAATTCGAATCCTGAAATAAGTTATTCTTCTTTTAGTACCTCTATTTAATTTGATTAAAATTTACTTATTATATATATTTATGCCGTTATGGTCAATTTTCTCGATTTTGCCTGTTATTCAAGCATTCGGAATGAAGAAAGATAGTGATTGGATATTATTTTAACTACATATTATGCAGTAATTATATCAATAACTATTTATTGAAGCTCTCAGTCATTCTGGTAAAGGAAGGATTGAGTCAATTCCTAGCCGTACTTGCATATTACTATGCTTAAAATAATACATATCTTAATAAATCTTAAGTATACAAACCATTCAAAGGAATTAATGCCTTAATTCTTTTCATTATTATTATTAGACATAAGAATTACATTAGGAGAACAAAGAAAAATATTTCTGAGGCTCTGTAAATTAGTACTCCATTCACATGGTTCCCTACGGAAGCATATATTTCCTGACTAAGAACCAATGTTTTAAAGTTTTACTGCCCAGAATAAGAGTATTTGCATATATATATATAATATATAAAATTTGTTCACCTAACAGGTAGATACTCAATTTTTATGCAAAATTATTATTATTACTTAATGTTTATACAACATTTAGTTGAAGACTTCTTATAAATGAGACTTTTAAACATGATGGTAGGACAAATTTTGCTTCATAAGTCTTAATGGGAATGTTCTGACAAATAACTTAATACTGTTTAAGAAATACCACCTTCATTTAATAATCTAAATTATGAGTTGATTATGATGTGTCTAAAGAAATTAAATGCATAAAAAGGCCTTTATTTTCTTTCTTTCATTACTGATATTTTGTTTGAAATGTTTTCTTGATGTACACACAAACTGCTCGCCATTTAGAGAACAACAGTGCTAAAGAGAAGAGCTATCAACCCTTTCCGGCACTCTACCTTTTAAAGTTGGAATTTCGATTTAAAAAAAGGTAAGCAGTTCAATTAGGCTTAGAGGTACACAAGTAAAATTTTGTAAAGATAGCACTTATCGTTTTAATTCTGTGTGTGCGCCTATAACGGGCAACTGATTGAATAGAGCTTCGAAAAAGAGTGCTGAAACGAGCATTGCTGGGAAGTGCGTAAAAGAGTAAGAGATTTTGCCTATGATTAAAAAACTAATTCTGAATACTACAGCAGATTTATCATTACCCAGGGTGTGCCACGGGGAGATCTGCTACACTACACCCTCTCTAAAAAGCTCATTTTTGGTTATATGATGATTACATGCTTATGAATAGAAAAAAAAGTAACTTGGGTATATGATATTTACATTTCATATTTACACTTTAGTCCATTTTTTTCATCGTGGTACTTTTCGAAGTGACACCACATTTAAAAAAGCACAACTCAATATTGCATGTTTTGCATATGTGCTGGGATCCGTATTAGATTCACTATCTGAGAGCAATTCGTGTACCACTTTCAGTGCTTTAGAAATGGTCAGCCTTCTCTGATCTGTTTGGAAAATAATTAAAAATCTGAAAAATATATACTATTATAATATCTACAATTTAAAATTGTTAACTATAAAATAAAAATATGTCTAGAACTCAAAAATATTAGCGCTAAGAAAACTTCTTTGAACCAAAGAGAAAGAGAAGTGCTCTAGTGAAAAACCAAACAGCTAACTGATAAAATTATCCCTGACCTTCAGAAAATCACCCCAATAATTTCTTAATTGATAATCAAACATCCCCCCCAAAAAAAAGGGGAAAAGAAGAAAGAGAAAAGCAGGAAATTAAACACAGATGTGGACCTACCTTTCTATGTTAATGAGCTGCAGAGAAACAAAGATACAGCTGCCTCTCAGTGACCTAGACTCACAGTGAGCACAGTCTGGGAACAACTCGGTTCACTTTTCTATTTTAAGCAAAATTTCAAGGTAAAAATTTAAAACTAATATACGAGTAGAACAAGGAGATTAGCATACAGCCAAAAAAATAACATAGAAATTTCCTTTCAAACAATCCTTTTATACTCTAAAAAAATTTGGAAGATTTCTTTGAAAAATGAAGGTCTTAAAAACCTAAACATGGCTAAAATATATGGACTGGTTTGTGTTGAGCTGCCATCTACTATAAATGAAGAAGGTTCAGAGTAACCTATAATAACTTTCAGATCCTTTTTCATTCAATTTTTCTGTGCGTACAGAAGGAAATTTTTAGGTGTGCCCAGAACAGGCACACTGTGCTGCAAAGGATTAAACCACATTTATTATACAGATACCTTATGGTTATAATGAATTCATTTTGACATGTGGAATGTCAACAAATTAGCTATATTGTGCAGACATTGTATATGGTAATAACTCCTACTGTACAGGCCAAGCATAAAGAGGAAGACATTTTTGAGGTATATACATCAGTCCATGCAAGTAAAAGTAATTTTGACTGAAATCTTATTTGTTTATTTTCTCATTATACTGGATAAGAACAAAAACAGTCTCTGACATTGAAAGGATATAATTTTACTATAAAAAGGGCTACAATACCCACACTTTTACAATAGTTATAGAACGGTTTTGTGGTGACATTAATTAGAATCACAAGCACTCAAAAACCTGTGCAAAACCTGTAATGCATTGTGTAGCATTCACTGAGAGGGTAATCTAGATTCATCCACACATCCTGACCTGGTGCATCCTACCATCTAGTATGATGTAGTTGACAGCTGCATGGATGCAGTCATTATGATCATTCAGGGTTTTGGACAGTAGAAGTACACACACCTTCCCTTCACGAATCACCAAAAGTAAAAGTCAAACACAGATAAACTGTGATGATCGTAAGAGCCATTTGCAAAAGTGCTGATTATACTGGGTCCAGCTTGTTCTATCCATTAGTTTGGCAGATTGCCATTCAGAAAGCCACACACAGATCATAACACTGCATGTTTGGGCATATTCTAGCATGGACATTGAAAATGGTGTTTACCCCACACCTTCTTTGATGCGGGGTAAACACCACTTTCGATGTCCTGCTCAAGTCAGAATTAGCTGTCATTAAAAGAAAGGTATGAAAATATTTTGAGTTTACTGAGCTTTCAACAAAAATATTCCAATAACAATTAATTACATGATATTTTGAAAGCAGCAGTTGAGTAGTAAAGTTACTGAACACTAGTAGTTCAGTTTCCGGTGAATGGCTGTCTGCAAGTGTGTTTTTGTCATGTAACATGGATATGAGCCAATTTCCATCAGAAAGCTTTCCATGAAGGCATCCCTCCCTTTAGACACATAGCCCTTATGTGCTTTGCCATAATCAAACAAACAAACTTGAAATTAGCGACTGTTTTTGCACTCACCCTGTACAATTCAAACTGAATAATTTTATACAAAATTCAAGGAAATATTAACACAAAACGCAGAAAGCTTTACATTATGTTAAATGATATTAAGGTCATCCTTAGATTCAGGTCTCCAAAAATGTATAAATTCAGCATAATTTTTGAAGTTTTCAAAAATATAATGGTTTAAATACCACACTTTAAAATTTAAAACTAGTATTTGATTCAATTCTCCCTTTAAAATAAAAATTTTGCATCAAGTGAAAAATGTATCTTAATATATTCATGTCCATAGTTAAGGAATTCATCAACATATATATATGATTCCATGCATACAGTGAGAATTCTTGGAACATTTTCTAAAGCTAAATTATAGGAATCAGCTTATATATGGATCCACTAATCTAACAAAAAACACAGGTACTTCTCCTTTAGTTACGGGCAAGAGATCATTGTCTTTTTTTTATCTATCTAGTTTATAGAAAAAATGTTAAATGAAATGGGATATTCATTGGTGTTTTATTTTTAAATTTGTTTATAAAGCTGGTTTGATGCATTGTTGGCAACACAAAAAGTCTCATATTGGCAAAATTTGCACCCTTTCTCCATTCTCGAACTTTATTTTAATTTATGGCGAAATGCTGAGCAGCCACAATGCTGTTAGTATTTTCTTCAAACATAATCACCCACAGTTTGAGATCTGCTGTATAAGAATTTCTCTTCCCACTAATCTTTCAGACAATAAAATGACACAGAAAATCAGATTAGAACAGATACCATAGATCTTCCACAAGACAACATATGAATGGAAATAATGTACTAGCTTCAGACATGCTTAACAAATTAAAAACTATCTTTGGTATCTTATTTCACAGAGATTTTATTGTAAAATAACCCACATCTGTTACCTGTTCCACACCTTTTTGCTCTTATGGTAACATGTTTCAGGATTTTTTCTTTCCAGCTTATATACAGGTTTTTGGATAAATTTTTGAAGGAAAAATGCACTCCCAGCACTTATGCTCAGAAATATATAGTATATATCATTGTTATATGAAAGTAAGAAAATAGAAAAGCTATTTATCACCTCTAAATTAAAAATGACACTTTCTCTGAAGCTCTTGAAAAGGAAATTTTTCATGTTTTGATCAAGTCAAACAGCTAGTTTGAAAAAGCACTGTTATAGCTTTTTTTGCCCCCAAGAGACAATTAATAAAAAAATATACAACAAAGCATCTAGACTCCTGGCACTATGCATGACACCATCATTGGAGATCACATATTTCTGCACATTTTCCATAACTGAAGTTTCATTCAGCATTCCCTAGTGAGGCGAATTTAGGAGTTCATGTGTTTTCATTTTTAGACACAGTAAGTCAAAAGCAGAAACAAAGACACTTCTTTATTGTTCTATAAAAATTTTACAGGTACTAAAGAAAGATTCAAACTTTTATCATGTGAAAATCAAAAATTGCTGTGTGACACCAGTTTGGCTCCTGTAATTAGTAATTGTATTAAAAATAATAATATATAAAATATATGATATGACTAGCAGAAAAATACAATAAAGGATCAGTAAAGTGCTCTAAACCCATATCTCAAATGCTGGGAAAAACCCAAGTAAAATAAATACAATGATAACTTTGCCTAGTAAAAATAAAAATAAAAAAGACTGACTTTTGCAAGTATTAGAAAACAAATACACAAGGGGGAAAAAAAAAAACATGCTAAATATTTTTCAAATGAAACTTTTGTTTTTCAAATTTAATGTCTATGGCCAAAATATAAATTCGAAAATTTATCAGTTTACCATAATAGGTTAAAATTTAAAGATTCTGACACTGAAAGTTAACCAAATGTTTTCAAGTTGAGATCAAATGTATGTTCCAAATAATATCAATTTATTTCTGCATCATATGCAGGCTTTGAAACATTCAAAGTGATATTTAAACATTTCCTTGGGAAACTTTTAGAAGATTATAGAACAAATTTTTAACACTACAAGACAATTATCATGTCTAATAATATTCTGCGAAATACAATAATGTTAAGCAGGAATGGGACATCTTCATTAACCCCTTAACTGCCGCGGCACGCCTTGCTCAGCCGATGCGTTAACTGCCCCAGGCGTATATATACATCCTTCCAAACTGCTATCATTTGCTTTGCGCTGCTACACCTAAAATTATTCGCAAAGTTAACGCATCAGCTGCGCATCTGGGGCAGTTAATGCATCGGCTGAGCAAGGCGTATATATACGCCTGCGGCAGTTACAGGGTTAAAAAGCAGTAATATCAACATAATAAAAAATAAGTAAAAGCTAAGGAATGAATGAAATCAACATATAATAGTAAACTTCTGCTTCTTTTCAAAAGAAAAATGAAACAAAACATAAAAAATGAGGTAATAAAATGATGGTTTTCTACATGACACAATTTAGAATCCCACAGCTTAAACTATTTAAAATGGGAACACATTTTTTAAGTATATGATCACATAATCAAAATATTTTCAATTTCATACTTTTTTATTACTTTTTTTCAGATTAGCATAGCATAATGGTCACTTTTAAATATAGCACGGACATTAAGATAATAAAATATTAATACATCTGTCTATTACTTTGATCTAAACGGTGTCAAAATGGAAAATAAAATGGCAATTGCTTGGAAAAATATCACAAATCAACATGCAGTTAAAATAATGACTCATGAAAATATACACACACATGTAGAAATTATAGATATTATATATATATATATATATACACACACATCTTATTACAATGGATATTTATAACCTAATTCATTTTCTATTTATATTTATCAGAGACACTGTATTTTATTAACCCTGTATATATATTTTAATGGATGCAAATAAAATCAATCTACAGTGGAACTTCCAAGTGAAAATAATTAGTTAAACACAAACAGAAATTAAAAGTTTAATGAAAGTGTAATTGCTTCAAATACCTTAAAATATTACAGCACAAAGGATTAACTACACATTTTTTAATAATCAGTTACACAAATGGTTTATTAAAGAGCCATATGAAAACTACTTTCTCTGTTTAATCTATTGTACTAGTCTATGAAAAATTTTGCCCCAATGAATAAGTATTTGGAAATTACATCTAAACTTCCCTCAGTAGGCTTCATTTCTCATAAGCTTTCAACAAAAATTAAAATATACTTTATACAATTGATTCTTGTTAGTACAACTCTTCATGTTACGACCCATCCTGATATAACAAACTACAACAATCCGACTAGATATTTCACTCGCCTAATGTGTTTTTTCCTTAAAATAATGACCCATCAATTGGCCAAAATTGCTTTTCAATGAACTTCTTAAATAATGATATGAAATTTGCATTTTTGAGAAGTACATTATTTCTTTTTGCTAAAGACAAATTTAAATGCAATTTGATGAATTTCCAACAATTTTAAATCAAATTTAAATTGATTTTACACCATATTAAAACTGGCCTTTTTTTTTTTTTTTTTTGATGTTATAAATAAGCATAAGGTTCATATTCCTTTGCCCCATCCAGAAGTGAAATGTTTATCCATTTTTCTTCTTTTCCCATTGCAATCTTTGAAAATTTTATTTATACCTTAGTTAACTACAATTAATGCAATTCTTAACAATTCATGTTAAACTACACATTTTAAGGTCTGCAAAAGAGCACACAGCTTTTAAAACAAAATTTATTTATAATCATTAAAAAACTAAAAACTATTTATTTATAATCATCAAAAATAGGGATATATATTGAATTCAAAACAGAAAAAGTGCAGTGAACTAACACACTAATATATTCAGAAAGTTTAAGACATTTGTGAAATGGCTATAAGTGGTACACATAAATAATGTGCACAGCAGCTGATTTTAAAATTCGATTTTTATGATCTCTTTTCGCATACTGTATATTTTGCTAAATCCCTAACCATTACATTCCTACTGTTGGTCAGAATAAAGTATGAAAATATTTTCATTTCTAGATATTTTATTTCACAATATAAATTATTAAAATGTCAAGTTTATTATCTTGGGAAAAATTAATGCTTAAAAATACTGCAATTACAATACTTTTTCATGAAATGTAAAATACATCTACTCCCATTAGACCAGAAACATTTGATTCCGTATTTCTAACAGGTGTATTTCATCTGAGAAACATCCACTTTATTTCAATACTTGTCCCTCTATACAACATGGCTGAAAAAGCTAGTGTACAAATATATTCTGCAAAACAAAAATCAGTGTTTAATAAATTTTTCATTTTTCTATTGTTTTTATTTTGTTAATCCTTAGGTGCAACCCTAAATGGCTATTCAGCTTGAAATAAGTTTTATAGAACGACGGCTTTAAAATCTGGCAAAGAGACCCTGTTCTGGAAGAAATCAAGATTTTGATTTCACAAATTTCTGGTCTGCTAAATTCTTTATGAAGAAAGCAAAGAGTATGAAATAAAAAACTTCCCTGTAAAATGCAAAAAGAGTATGAAATAAACTTCCGTGTAAAATGCAAAAAGAATACCAAATCTGCCTTTGAAGTTTGCAGATCACAACTTACGAAAGCACTGATACACAAGTTTTATTTGAAATTCACTAAAATTTCAGCACATCAATACAAGGGAAGCATTTGGTGAAGACATGGAAAAATAAAACCATATGTATAAAAGTCAAAAATATGGAAGTGAAAGGCTGCAAAATTTACATAACTATATATTCAGGCATCATCAAATATAACATAGCATTAATGACTTAAAAAAAAAAAAAAAGACTCGAGTACAGCTCATAGAAATTCTAAATGCATTCTTTTTTGTGTTTATGTAGATTTAAATGAAAGAAACGTCAAAACATAAATTTTGTACTAACAAAATGCTTATTTGAGGATTTAAACTGCATCTAAGGCGTTAATTATATTGCAAGTGAAATCTTGTTAAATGTCAGTGGAATAGGTGGTATTCCCCACATATTTGAGTAACATTCCACACTAATTCATATAATTTTCTTTTTTGCCAATCATACCTTGTCATTATAACATGAGTCAAACAATGACATTTAGGCGCAACTAATTTTTTATAGAACTATAAAAAATAGCTAATACTTGACAGCACCATGAAAAGATGTAAATGAATTACTGCCCTAGACATCCAATTACTTCAATTTAGATTCTTTTATTAAAACTTTTTGCATTAAAAAATAGTGACTATACAAGTCTTGCTGCACACTCACAAGACTTAATATCATTTTTATACACTTCTCTGCACACCCCATATACTTAAAAATTTCTAATGGACTTTTTCTAATCCAGTTACTGGCAATTTAAATAGGAAAACATCTGATAAAGTAAACATAAACAGAGGCAAAAAAGCAAATGTGGACACATTTAACATATTCTTTGAATGCACAATAAATAGAAGCAGTCTTTTAGATAGTAATAGGTCAAAAGATGCACTTTAAATAAAGTTTAAAATGGGGGAAAAGAATATACAGCAATGAATATACATTTAGTGATGCCAATTTAAATACATAGAAATCACTAAAGCAAATATTACGGCACTGTCAAATTAAAATTTAATCGATTTGCTTATTTATTAGTCTAAAAGAACACAAATTTTATGGTTACTACTGTTATATGAATAAAAATCTCCCATTAAATATTTATACACTCTGATAACTATTATAGCTCAGGACACAATTTTATATAATCCTAGTAAGAAATCCATGATGAGGTTCATCCATAAAACAGTTCATAAAATATATGGAAAAAAAAAAATAACATTTAACACTTATACTCAAAATGAGATTGTCTTAGTAACAGAACTTAAACTCTTAATTACATTATAACAACATTCTTTTGCTAACAAGCATTACATTAACAGTTTTATAATTCAAATGCAAAAAATCCAGAAAACTTTATCATGAAATAAGACAAGTTTTCTACAGAGTAAGTACATTTAAAATGGAATGGTTTTGCAAAATTCAAACAAAAATGAGACATAAGTGATTTCATCAGAAAAATGAAAACATTTTCACAAACAATTAAAAAAAACATTTGAAGCAAGAACATTTAAATATAGATATATATGAAAAAAAGGAGAAACTGAATAAATATTGGAACACACAAATGTTATTGATGATAATTCTATTTATAAATCAATTCAAAACATAAGCATTTGGATAACTTTCAAGCGTATACCTATCACAATAAAATAAATAAGTTCTAGGACTAATATTTGTATGATAAAGTGGCATATTTAAATTGTATTTCAACAACATATGCAACAAACTACATACCTTATGACCGAGGAACTTAATATTTTGCCTGGTTAAAAAGGCACAATCAGGTAAAAGAAATATCACTGTAATGTACAATGCAGGACCATAAGACTTATTAAATAGATACAGTTAAAAATCACATTTTCTCAAGAAAAAGCTAAGTATTTCAAAAAACATAAAACAAATATATTTAACTGCTACTAAAAACAGGATCTGCTGATAATACAGATAAATGAAATACACAAGACAACAAATTATTGAAATGACTCAATGGCAATCTCATGTTATTTTTAAAAAAAGGTCCATAAGATCTTTTTATAACCTTCACTATTTTACAGAACCATTCTCCACTATTATAAAATTAAAAATCCCTTTTCTACTTTCGCTTTAAAGACCAACAGCTTTTAAATGCATTGCCATAATTAACAATCCATGTTTTCCTCCTAATGTCACAGAGCCATGTATACTATAAAATTTTCTCGTAACATCAGCATAGTTTTGAACATATAAACATAAAAGAGAGGATTTCAAGTTATTAGATTTCTTTTTCATTATAAGTTTAAATATTAACACAAAAGCCATAATGCTCTGAATCCAAATTACATTGTTTCTTATAGATTAAAAAACAATATTTTGATATAAAATAGCTATTTTTAAGTACATAGCGAACTAATTAACATATCAAATATGAAACACATGAAATATGTTAGAAAACCCATATCTTGCTTTTAGGATGGAATTACGAATTGTTCCACGCTTTGTAGTTCAATGAACAAAATCAAGTGTGGATCAGTACAGTCAGAACAATCATCATCTCACTGATAACTGCAATATGCAAAAATTCTAATCAATTTAAGATAGTTTCAAATGATATAAAATTTATCACAAGGATTGTCACCAAAAAGCCCTTCAAATCCAGGCCAGTTTTAAGAGAAAAGGCCATCGAAATCTTAAAAGCTTGACTTTTGGAGGAAGAAAAGAGAATGAGAGGCTAAATACATTTATATGAACCTAGAAGATGCTTGAATTCATTTATTTTTATTATAGATGTTTCCATTTCCGGTCTTTTAAAAAACATTAATTAATTGAAATGAACGAAATTTAAATGACATATATTTGGTTACAGAATCACATTGAAACACAAGTACGTTCCACAATTAATCTAATATACACAATCAGAAAAATCTTTTAACCTCATATCCAAGTTAACATCACAAATGAAAATTTATGTCTTAAAACATTATAAAATGTGATATTATATATATGTACTAGATAGGGCTTTGAAGTACAATTAATCATGCTCAAGTACAATAAACTGCTGCTGTCTGAAAAGATAATTTCAACAACAATAGAATACCTATGAAATTATTCAGAATAAAATTTTCATAACATTTTAATGACACACTCAACACAGAAAAACAAACAGAAGAAAGAACAGTTTTTAAGGTTAACTAGCATATTCATAAAATAACTAAAAATCTATCCAGTTTCCAGCAGTTGTGTCTTTCTGCTGCACTGCACCAATGTCTCTAAAAGGGGAAAAATAATTCAAACAATAAAGCTATGAAATCAGGAAATGTACAAAGTTCAAAGCACCTATCTTTGAAATTCATCATAAATAAAATAAAAAGAACTAGCCTTACCCAGGGGCAGTTGTAAAATCTCCCCAAAGTTCAGCACCAGATGAGTTTGCAGATGCTGGGTTTGATTCTCCTGTTTCTGCAGAAAGTCCAAGATCCAGAAGCAAATTAGCTGCAGAACTCGACTGTGAATTAGCTGCAGAATTTGACTGTGAAACAGGTGTTGAATGAGGAGCTTCACTCTGATTTACAGGTCTAGATGTTGGTGGAGCAGGCAGCTTTACCCCACCAGGCGGGGGAGGCAGAAGCCCTGGAGTGCCACTAAATGCGCTAGGTTTAGGACGTGGCTTAGTACTACTCCCAGACTTTTTCTAAGTAAATAATAGATGAGCATGCTTCATAGATAAGCAATTCATATAAGGTAACACTTCATCTGAAATAACTCTCTTAACTGTTTTATAACAATGTAATTAGTATCACTCTTTAGTATGTTTAAATTTTACAGAACCTTTATTAAAGGTATCTAACACATGCAGCAATACCTAGAATATCAATTATAACGATGGTAAAACTTTTTTATTAACTCATTCAAATTACGATTAAAATAACAAAATATTTCTCACTGAAAGATGCAATAAAGAATTCTGCAGAAGGGAAATAGTTTTAAAATGCCCATTACAGGGGCTCTTCATGATAAAATACTGATAATGAAACTTATTATATAAATAATGCAAACTATATTAACCATAATGTTATTATTATTAAACAGCTCTTTTTAGTGAAATATCTTACGAGACCAAACAATGAAGAGCTGATATATCTGAAAAAGTTAAATTGTCTAATAAGACAATTTACTAAGGATCAAAATGATAATTGTAGCAACTGATTGAGTGGGCTAGTACAGGGAAAAAATCCTAGTATATTAAAGAAAATTATCCAAATTACAACTTAACTACCATTCATTGTATTACACATCAGCAGTATTCTTCAAAAATAAATAAAAAGTTGAAAATGTTGCAACTTATATTATTAAATTAGCAAATTTACTACCATCAAGAAGTTTGAAACGCAATCATTTCATAAGTTTACTTCAAGATTTTGAATTCAAGTACAAGAGGCCTTCCTTACCATAGTAAACTCAGTGGCTTAGTTCTTCTTCACCAAATACAGGGATTTAAAGGATGATATCATATATAAAAAAGTGGAAGATATTGATGGACTTTCCAGAATTAACTGACATACAGGACTTGAGTATTTCTTTGACTCCAAGGCATGACACATTTCAGCACTTTTAACTTATCATAAGGGAACAAAAATACATGATAAAACGTTTAAATGGATTTCAATTAAACAAGCATTTGTTTCAATGATATTTTTTAAAAGAAAGGCCACTCTCCAACCATGAACTTACTAAAGGGACCAGAAAGGAAATTCAATAATGTACAGAAATTATCAATGCACTTAATGATTACTGTTCACAAAGATTTATCAATTTTCAAAAAGCAGACAAATTTGGCCCTAGTATGTGAACCATTTTCAACAGAATTGCTAGCACTCTAGGCAATCTATAACTTGAGATTATAAATCAGCAATGTGATACTGATTTAAAGAATAGCAAAATTATGGAGAAATCTGTAAATTTTACAATATTCTCAATTTAGACAAACTTATGATTATCCTTGAAAAATGAGTTTTTTTTTTTTTTAATTTTTTTTATATCAACCTATATATATGAGCAAACACTTTTTATTGTGATTTGTAATAAGACTATTTTATGACCAAGGATCACCAATGATCCTTATGAGCTGTTACATAATTTTCATCAGTAACATTCATCTCATTGAATCATTGGTTTTTAAAAATTTATTTATGTAAAGAGTCAAATTTCCTTGATAAAAAAATATATCCAAAAATACTATTTTATTTGCAGGCTGGCATACTTCTTTAATTGCTGATGAGGCTCTTCAGACAATAAGCTGATCAAGCTTGCTATAACATGTTGCAAATATTGGTTTTACTATAACAGCAGTAACACTGAGTAATGATTTGCTCTTATGCAAAACAGTGCAACTTTCATATGTTTTACTTTGCGTAAAACAATTTTACTTCCACATTTTCACTAATGAGCATGTCATTACTAATTTATTTTCCATGATATTTGTTTGATCCCAATTCCCTTTACTTCTGGCTGTTGTTCTGCTGTTTCGTTGCGGAGATAACTTGCAAATTCAGCAGATATGATGGACCATATATCCCTGCGACTGTGAAGCATTATATATAACCAGCTGCTTATTGCTTTAAACAAAACCAGGAAGCATGACTGTAGTGTGTGCACTACTAGGAGACGTAATGTGACAATCTAACCAAATATCTATCTAGAAATCCTTAATTAAATTTACATGTGCCCAATATTTACTGGCTTGAATTCTTAGTGGTAGTACATTGCAAATCAAACCCTAGTGACAAGAATAATTAAATATTTGACTTACCCAATAACCCACATGCATGAGACTTGTGGAGGCAAATTTCTTTTTCTAATCTCACATTTATTTTATCAGGAACACAAAACGTGATAAATTAAAATGGAATAGTAGGAAAGCAGAAAACGAGCCTAGCAGTCAACCAATCTCAATCTATTCACATCATGCATACATGCAGTTAGAATTTTCTCATATTAATTTCAAACAGTGTCCATAATATTGTTGTACATGTGCAAGATAATTTTTTCACTTTCACATTCGTTAACACACTTAAAAAAATCACGTGGTCACACATCGCTGGTAATGCACATTCTGGAGTCGAACACCTATAGATAATCTGCTTGAGATGTTTAAGAACGATATCGTGGCAGATGGATTTTAACATTGAGCAATTTCATCTAAAAACTCGCAACCTGCTTCTTTTTATGCAAAAATATGACAACACTCCATGTGAAAATATCAGGAACGATGAAACTCCATTAGCGTGACATGCAGGGGCAGGATTGCCAAGCGACAGACGGAAGGTCACGGGCGAAGAAGGGAAGAAACCTGTCTGACCGGTGCTTATATACACACATGCAGTTCCGTTATTATGATTAAAATGTGTGCTGCCGTCAAACTGTGTGGTGTGAGAAGCTACTATTATCACAAGGACGCATTGAGCAATTTCTTTATCATATACTATTGAGATAGACATAATCAGTGCTTGAACAATGTGAATCATGCATGGAATGCTTCAGTACATTATGTAAATCGGATCATGTTTTTTTTTTCTTAGCTTTTAAGGTTTGAAGTGATAGTTCTACCTCTGATTTTATTTATACTGCTTGTATCTAATGGGCTAACCTTTTTTTTTTTTTTTAATTTGAAATAAATACAATCAGGACATCTCTCAAGAGCATTTAACAGCTAAGAATTTATTTTTGAAGTGAATTTAAAAATGCAATTTCCATTTATCAGGACATGAGAATAGAAATGACTTCATATTTTAGCAAATGTAATGCAGAACTCAATCTACTTTAGATTTCAAAACTTGCAGAATTTTCACCTTCTGGTAATGAGTAACACTGAGTGACTAGCACTAAGAATAGCAGAATAGTGGGGGGATACAAATGAAATAGCAATAGTGGATATCACTAAATTCCACAGCTACAATAAGATTTCACATGAATACTCTATAAAACTTAAGATATTATAAAAAGAAAATGATAAAAATATCTTATGTTCTAAAGGAGATCATACACTGTCAACAAATTTCTATAAAAAAACATACTTAAGTGAAAACGTGGCCAAAAATAAGACAACAGAAATATTTCAACTTGAATTTTAAACCTGGGGAAAATTCCATCCTAGATTACCTCTTACTCTGCAGAACAGTTGAACATATCTTGAGATAGACTAGCATAGTTTGTCCCTTTAGTTTAAATTTATTCTGTAAAACTTCAATTAGCTTACTTTAAAATGTATAGCACTTTGCTACAATGTCAGTTCTACAGTTAGATGTTACCTAATTTTAAAATTTCAAGAAGTCTGATTAAAGAAAATGTTTAAAATGTAGAAATTCTAAATGGACAAAGCATTATCTTCAAGAAAAAATGGCAATAATGGCTATATTAATTAGCATTTAAAGTAAATATAAGTTTGAATAATTTAGAAAATGCAAGGCAACATATTAAAGAAATGTATATGATTTGCAAGATATAAATGGAAAATTACCCCAATGTTCATATTTATAGTGATAGTCTCTCCTTCTTTAAAACCTAAATTAAGGTTTGTCTTGCTTTCTGAAGTATCTAATTCTTGCTGAATCTCCTCACTCTTTTGAAGCCACCTGTCAATATACAATTTTTTAATCTACATGAAATAAAACATACTATAAAATGTGTACAATTATGGCACACACACACACACACACACACAAGAAAAAAAAAAAAAGAACACCTTAGACTGATAGACATTTTAAATAAAACTTCTTTACATTTCAAGGGGGATTGATATAAATCACTCTTTTTCATAAGCTAGAAATTTTACAGGGGAACAAAGACGGATATGAATGAAATAAAATAAAGATGAAATAGCACCCTCAGTCACAAAGCAAAAATGAAATGAAAGTACCATCTATTGAGCAGAAAAGAAATTAAAATGAATAAATCACATCTAAAATAAAATAATTTTGAGTGCTTGCAAAAACTGAATTGATATTTTGTTATTAGTAAATTTTTCAAATGTGAAAGACTTCAAGGAAATCTTATAAACTACATAAAGATGTTTTGTACTTAATTATAGGAAAACTAAAGTTAAAACTGTGGTTAAGATTTACTTTTTCTTTTTCAAACCTATCATTATTCCTAAATATGAAATTTTAATAATCTTTAGCTTAATATATATTAAACTATGTCATAAGCTCCTCAAGAATTAAAATCAGAGATAGGATCTTTAAAGACAAAGCAATAAAATTTATTAAGTGAGAAAATAACTTGAAAGTTGAGTTTATGGAAGATCTGAGCAATTTGTAAATGACAAAAAGAAAACAGTTGACAATAAGCTTACTGTGGTAGTTTCTAAGAAGAGAATGTCTTTCATAATGGCAAGGAGAGATATTATTTTGTCACTATGACAGAATAGCTTCTATCGATGGCAACAGATATCACTTAACTGTATTTATTACATAATACGAAAATATTATTAAGAACTAACCTTATGAGAAGATTAGAGAATGAATAAAAGAAAATGCCAATTTTTGCACAGCAGAATGATGATATTTGAAGCTGATTGTTTTCATTACAAATCTAGGGTTTTTTTTTTTTAATGATTAATTTTACTTCACAATTTTATAAAAAAAATAAAGCACACATTTGTTATCCTATGCATAAGAAAAAAAGTATTCTATTTCACATTTTTTGTTCAGACAAAGTTAAAACTTAATCTGCACCAATACTAAATAAAGTGCAAATAAAACCCACAGAATATCATTTTAAAATTGTTATTTAAAAGAAGAGAGTTATTAACAGAATACATGACAGTATTCTGTAAGCCCACTCTATAAATATATGGAAGTGGAAAACAAAATCTAATAATTAGATTAAATGATTATTCAAATCCAGATTTTATCAAATTGCTATATATTTGTACAATCTAGATTGCATCTCTTTTATGAAAATTCATTCAAACAAAATTATACACCTAAAAAGAGTTTAATCAAATTAATACAATCCCCTGCCTTAATACGTGAGATCTGCTGCAAATATTGTTGCCAGCCCCTGTAGCAGAAAATCTTAAACTGGCAAATTTTAAAAGGTATCTGTGAACAAGAAATGAGTATTGTAGGCAAGAGGTCCAAGAAATCCCTTGGTGAAAAGTCCCTCTATTTAAATATATAAATTTATGTACTCCTAGTCATGCTTAACCCTTTCGCCGTCCTCTCCTGTCCGCGAAATTTTTCCCCCCAGCGGCCGTCTGTTTTTCATAGCGTGTAATGTTGTTTTCTCTGTATATCATAACTTTCCATACATGACTTTCGTAGTGATGAATGTCAATGAATATTAAGTAAAATTATAAGGAAATATAGCATAATGAAAAAATAATAATATCTCTGTCTGATCCAGGCGGTCCACTCCTCCCATTTTGTTGTAATCTTTTACAATTATTGGTATTTTTCGTGTTCCAACATCAATCATCGAGCTATTATGGACTGTACTCATCAAACATATATCCTTCTTGTCTTTCCAATTCACAACCTCATTTTTTCTCTTTTTTTGCTGAGTAGATGTTGAAGCCATCTCTCACTGTCTTGTATCTTATGTAAAATAGCGCGAATATTCATAAAACCCGGAGCAAATTCAATTAGAAATAGAATGCCCGATTAGTGGCCCTCTAGGAGGTATTAGAACAAACAAAAATAAAAACTCAAACAAGTAAACATTTAGAAAGTGTTTAAAAGTTTTAAAATGCAGCTTAAAGCGTGGTACGGTCGCCCTGCGGAAGTTTCACTTGAACGTGCTAGATGCGTTACGGACGACGAAGAGGTTAATTTGGTTAAGGGAACTGGGCCAAGAGCGTAGCTCTCTTTACTATACTCCTCAAATCATTTATGGACAATTATGGCCCACAACATGATGCACTGCATGCTGAAAATTTCAACTGCTCGCTAAGAACACAGCCATTATGTTGGCTATCTATCATGTGCTCTGTGGTGATAAACATCAATATTCAGGCAATCATTGCCTCTGTATCTCTTTTTAAGAAATTTTACACCTGATTATACATGTGCCATTTCTATGGAACAAAAAAACATGATTTATCGAAGAAGGCGCATTTTGCTACTTGGCCAGGATCCTTCACATTGTTATACAAATATGTTATTTGCAATGTGCATGCGTCAGAATGGATACTGTCACCAAGCTCCATAATATAAAATACTACAGGATTTGTTGTATGGTCATAAGTGTTGCACCCATCTTTCCTCTGGAAAGCAAGTGAACCTGCAGTAGCTTATCTCATAAGATTTCCATCTCTGAGACTTAACAGAATATGGATTCCCCAACTTATCTCCCAAGAAATTAAAAGTCTCTCTTTTCCAAACACTTTACAGTTTAACCATTCCCACACATAAGCATTTCACTTATTTCTGAAATGGCAGTACGCTTGACCTGACAAACGACCATACTCTTTTCAAGCCTGAAATGTTGTTTGCTTCATGAATGACTGTTATTACAACCACGAATACATGGTAAACACCCCATGCTACAAGTGTCTGGCATAAAACTCTTGCACTCAAAAAATTCATTGCACATATGTAATCTATAACCTGATTTAATCACTGTTTAATCTCAGTGTAACAAAAAATAGTTATATCTGTCACTGCGAATGACACCACAGCGTACATGGATTAATAAGTAAACAAACTCAACGACATAGAATACAAAAACTAAGACCAAATAAGTAGAGAAACTTAATAAACTTTGTGAAGTAATCAATTCCAAATAGTCTGATGTAACTACTAAAGAATGTAACGTTTTAAGATATAATTCACATATCCAACTTTTCTTTTTTTCTCTTTTTTTTAGGGGGGTGAAAAGTGAGAAGACAGCTAACTGGTACATATTTATATGCTCTTAAAGAACTACATATATATTTAAGCATAAGTTATTGCATTTGTTTGTCAATCTTCATTATGCAAATATAAATAACAGAATAATACTTGACACAGATTATTATCACATATTTTCAACAGATCCCATAGAGGTCTTTTGGTCAGACTGTTAACTACGTGCCAATTTTTCCTGTGCAGGAAAAGGAAAAGTTTCAAATTTACAGTTCAGCATTTTGCATGTTATTTATTCCACAATTTCTATTGAAAAAAAGAAAAAATAGATATTCAAAATTATTTTAGAGTACTCTCAAGCTACATTACTGAAATTTTTTAAACATGTGACACAGATTTACTTCCTATCCTTGTATGTGTGTAGGCACTATAAATTAATAGACAAAGCACACACTAACAATAAAGGAGATACCTGATTAGGTAAAGACAACAAGGGTAACACCAGATTCTTACTAATTTAAAAATATATTACTAATTAGAATTATTAAATTCTTACAAAAATATTTAATTTCGTAGAAATCAACTAGTATATCAGCAAAGCATTATAAAACTACACAAGTTTATCAAAGAAACGCGAATCTAAGAGCAGGTGAAAACGAGTAATTCAAATTAACGGTAGAAAAACTTATTTTATTATAATAAAACCATGCAACTACCAGTTTTCTCAGATAAATTATTTAAATCTAGAAAAAGTACAGGTACTTTTCCATTTTGCCGGCACATGCGATAAAGTTGCCAATAATGGTACAACTGATGCCAAATGGAATATCTTTACTGGTAACATTTTACGCCTCATCTTCAAAACAAGTCGCAGCCACTTCTTATCAGATTGGTTGTTTCTTTCAATACCTCAATATAGAATTTTTTACAAAGATAGTTAAATTTTATGCCCTGAGGCCATTAGCAGTAATTAAGTCAATTAGGATGCAATCACACGCTCACCCAAAGGCGAAAATACAGAAAAAAGGCAAAGTCAAGGGTTAAATTCATCAATTGTAATGATAATGCACTAGCGAAATACAGCATTGCTGTTTTACATAATTTCTGAGCAAGCTATTTGCATGAATTGAAATAATTCCTGCATTTAAACTTGTATTCCAGATTAAGATTTAACTTGAAATTAATGTAGATAATTACTGAGAGAATTCGATTTTTGTAGTGAAGTTTACGTGCGATGAGATCACTTGGGGTCACGTGATATGAACCGGTGAATCAGGGTGTTGAATCATGAAAGCATAGTAAATTCTTAAATTAAAATCTTTTTATAAATTTATTGTCTTTATTTATTGGCTTTTTAGAAAATTTTAAACGATATTAAAATGTTTATGCCTTCAAATTAAAAATTCTTAGAACTAATATTTGTTAACAATTTTTATGAGTATACATGTATACAGTATGTGGTCGCCAATAAAGTCTGCTTGGCGAGATTTGCACAGGTGAAACGGAAAAGATCCTCAAATTTAACGCCTAACAAAACAGCCTGAAACCACAAACAAGTTTCAAAAGAAAGGGAATTAGGAAATTGTATAAAGGAAGCAGTACACATTTAAAACATAAATAAAAGTAAAATAAAATGGAAATCAATTTAAACTCTGAAATATTCCAATGGACCGTATTTAGAACTGTTCTCTAATTATGCAAGATTTGTTCTTTAGACCAGATGAAAGTATTTCTGGAACCAGGAGGTCACGCTAAGAAATTATTAGGATCTATATGCACACAAAGCAAGAAAAATGTATGCACTAACAATTTTTTTATCTATCAAATGGCACTAACAATTTTTTATCTATAAAATGAAAATATTTTATGAAATCCATACTTGAAATGTTCTTGCAGGGCAACATTCAGATCAAATGAATCAGCTCTATCTGCAAATCCAATTCCTATAAAAGCAGCTCTTCCTATTATAAAATAAAATTAAGATCATTAAAAATTCAGAATTATACAATAAAAAGTATTACTTTGTACATTAATTAGCATTAAGAGAAAGCTCCAATACTCTCTACCTAATACAGAAACAAACATAAAATAAACTTCATGCTTCAATGAAACTGTTCTACAAGAAACTATGGATTAGAAAGATTAATTCTGCTTCTTTCTGTCATATACTAGTTGAAGCAGATCATTATAAGATGAGAACCCCAATACGTGATTTCAAACTATCAGGTTCTCCTTTCTGCAGCGATGCAGAATGACAGAAGTGGCTAAAACTGGTACCCCAAATATAGTATAACAAAGCTAAGAAACAAAATGCATGAAGCAAAGATTTTGAATACGTTTAATAATAATGTGTAATACTTTTACATAAGTTAAACTTTAACTTAGTGACTCTACAATTGTCACTATATGGACTAAATGAATTGGTACTTCAGCTTCATTTTCTGTGAAGACTGAAATGTGAAAATAAAATAAGACAAGACTTTTCCTTTCCTTTGTTACTCTATTATTTATAATGAAAGGATAAAAATTAACTAGTTGAGTATCAAAGAAAAATGAAAGAAAATTTAAAAATCCAAAATTTTTTTGACATCACAAGAAACATTTCGAGTGGTTCTGAAGTAACTAGTATGAAGACTGCTAAAACACTGCTATTTTTCCAATACTTGTAATACTGAATAAATATTCCTAAAATTATTGTAAACAGACACTTTTATTAAAATAACTATAATAAAAGAAGTTTGGTTATTAATATTTTTATTTAAATAGAAATTAAGTTACAAAACACTGGTTAACAAAGGTTCTTAGGAAAATATTTGTTCACAGGTGGTCAAATAACTAACTCACTGAACACTGCCTAGGGATTCAAACAACTTTAAAGATTATTTCCTGGAACTGTACACAGACAATATTTACCGTCTTAATGTCTCAGTCAGGAAAATAAAGTCTTCCAGAAGTGAGTACAAAATGCAAAATCTTCCTTCAAACATCATACAATATTAATGTTTCAGTTATGCAACTATGATGGTTTGGGAAGGAATAATGATTCATGGACACCTTTTCAGCAGCGGACCTGTGACCGGCCAGAGATATCGGGGTGAAAACTTTATGTACAACTTTTCAGAACTGCACATGGATCTGACTTTTTATTTATGGACGATAATGCTCCTCCACATCAAGCAAACCTTGTTAATTAATTTTTTGAAACTGAAGACACTGAGTGAATACAGCAGCCAACTAAATCTCCTAATCTTAACCCAAAGAACTTACAGGACTTTCTTGGAAATACAGTTGCACGGATACATCCTACTCCTAGAGACAGAAATGCTCCGAAGACCACACTGCTGAAGGAGTGGAACTTAATTCAAGGTTGCCACTTAAAGAGAAGAATGAAATTCCCTGACTTTTCCAGATTTTTTAGGTGTGTTTTGAGAAAATTCCAGTCTATCCGCATAGTGTGTGTTGGCTGCGATGAGAGGTAAATTAATTATGAAAACACAAAAATTTGCCAATTGCATATAACTTATTATATATATAATCCTGAAAGCATTACTATTATAGCTATAATATGAGTTGTTTTCTCCACTGAAGATTGAGATTAGAATCTGCCCAATCTGGATTAAAAAATGAGTTTTGCAGACATTTTGCAGCTAAATGAAAGAAATAAATCTATTTAATGATATTTTTAAATAAACTCAGGTATTTCATATTTATTTAGCAGCATACATAAACAAAAATATGTGCATTAAATTCCGTGATAATATGTCATCATACTGCTAGATTTAGTTTCAGTATTATGCCAGAGAAATTTGCCTGAAATTTGAAAGTATTATTAGCTAATAATAAATAAATTTAGAGGAAAGAAGAACATTAAATGATATAACATTAAAATGAAGTTAATTACTTAAAAAATTTGATTACAATAATCAATGATATTTTGGCGAATATAGTCATATTAAACGTTAGCCTAGATGACTGATTACTAATTTTTTATTTTACTGCAAAATGAAAAATAAGGCATTTATTAAAATGAAAAAAAAAAAAAATAAATAAATAAAAAGTTTAAAAGATTTTGCGATAAAATCCTAGTTTTTGCTACAGCCTTGGTACAATTTTAAAAACTGCCACCAACACCAAAATGACCAGTTTACTGCCCAACATCTTCTTAAACAGAGACTAAGAGACAGAGGTAACTGTTGTTACTGCTCATCATAATATCACCAAATCCTGTGTGTACCGTACATGGAGGTTAGAATAAACAAAATATGTATTGTTAAGATAAAAAAAAACTTCTCTGCAACAGAAATGGCTCCGTCTCAACGTTGAGGGAAACAGCTCCGTATGCGCGAAATATCTGTCGCCGGAGCTCGCGAAATTCAAAGGTCAAGTTTATCAAGAGTACATAAAACGAATATCGTTTTAAATTTCCTTTAAAGGAAAAGAAAATAATTTTTGTGCGAGTAAATTAATTAATAGATTAGCTATTTTTGAACTAAAAATATATGGAAATCCGAGTATAAATTATCCCGAAAGTCAAAGAAGGTTCTTCTTAATGCTCCACAACTTCCTGTACACATTGCGGATGGGGAAATTCTCACTGTCAGGTTCTGTCACCAAATCCCCTTGGTGAGTTTTTCCCTCCGCTTTCTAGAGGCACTCTAGCATACTGATTTACATTACGTCTATGAAACCTTTCTTTCTTTACATAGACATTCTTACATTAGAACAGAGTACATGGGGGCTATTCTAGCCTCCATAGTACCGTAAATTTGGATTAAACCGATTTTGTTGTATACGAGAATGGGAAGGTATTTTCTTTAGTTCAACATAATCTGCACATGTGAGTCCTAGGATTCTCATGGCCACTGAAAACCAAGCTGCCCAAATGACGCTCATCTGATACATAATTCACCAACAAAGTGATCGTTTCCAACATTGGTGCAAAACTCGCGTTTGGGGGATCGCCATATGACTTTTCCAGATTTTGACTAAAATATTTTTAAATTCCCTGACGTTTTTGGTCAATTTTTGAATTCCCTGACTTTTTCCGTTTTTTCCAATTTTCCAGATAGCATGGCAACTCTTAATTCCCCAAAGTGTGGTTAACAATGTTATTGCCAGCATGAAAGCAAGTTTGTGTGTAAATGTCGGAGGGAGAGCAAATTCTATATTAAATTCATAAGCCTTAAATGTTTTCTGAATTATTCTTTTTACTTATTATTACCATTTTTATTGCTTCATGCTGCAGTTTTATACCATATGCCAGTGCTCTTTAATTGTTTTTCTTTATATTCATATGTATCATGTTATGTATCATTCTGCAAAAATTCATAACATTATAGTTCACAGTTTCTGAGAAATTCACGATTTCATGCATGTAAAGATAATTTTCGACCTATGTGTCACAATAACTAATTTGCGTCTTGGTTTGGAGCTAACAAAAGTATAATCAAAATTACAAGACAACTCGTTAATTCCCCTAAAAACTACAAATGGTAGTTTGATTCATGCTTAAATCTCGGTAAATTTGTGGGTTCTATCACATTCTTACCCATATATAAAGATAATATGAGTCAATCTTACTTTGGAATGGCCTCCAATGTAGGCCTTCCCTTAAGCATATTGCCCTCCCCTGCTTCATATAAACGAATTTAACGAAATCAAATAATTTAATTATTAGCTGTTTAAATATATTTAACACTGGTTTGGGTTTTATAATCTAAAAAAAAAGGATATTTAGTACATGGCAGAAATGTTTAAAAATTGTATATCTTCAAAAATACTTTTGTTTGAACAGAAAAAGAGTAACAGGATTAGGTTACTTAAGTTTGTAAAATAACACAATTATTTAAATGTGCAAAATTCTTGATTTACATAAAATTCACCCACTTCCATTAAAAATTGCCTTTCACTTTGAAGCAATAAATAAACATGTTTCTTAAATATTTCTAAATAATTGCATTTCCTACATGTGAAGTTTGGCTATCTTCGGCATAGTTTATAAGCAGGAACATTTTTATTTACATATTTAATTCTGAATACTAGGATATCTTACACTACTATTAAAAAAAGGGGAGAAGGAAGATTCATAAAATTAAGCATACTTCTTTAATCAGAGTTATACGAGAGCCTCTTTTCAAAACAAAACATTTAGTAGAAAACTGATAATTTTCAGACTCAAAAAGAAAATACACATAAAAAGTATACAAAGAACACAAGGTACACGTGAAAAAGCGTGAAAATTATTATGATAGTTAAGTATTTTCACTTGGAAGTTGGTGGAGATTCTGTTAAACGTGCATCAGTCATTCCGGCAGCAGGCTGAAGAAACAGATTGCTCTTAGTTAAATACTCTCAGATTTTTATTTCTTTAATTAGATAATCAAAGATAAAAGTTACAGATGTAGCATAAAAAACTGTTTATATAAGCATGAGTTAAAGCTTTAAGGTTATCTGACAAACGAATTCAGTAAAAGTGCCAATCATTCCTTAGCCAAAAATGCTTAATGGCCTTTGAAATAGCAACAAAATAGTGATCACCTTTGTGAACTTGGCACTGTGTAAGATTCACTGTAATAGGAATTAAAGCGGCAACTGCACAGTATTTTGCACTGAGCCATTTTACTGAACCCCCAAACATTGAAAACAATTTTTTGAGTACCAGCACAGCCAGCCAGTCTTGAAACTTCAAAAATATTTTATGCTTAATCTTCTATAGAAGGCAGGTCCCAAAGTTTTATTCATTTTTTGAAATACAAGGAAAAATAAATAAATAAATAAATAAACAGTTTACATGTGTCCTTTTCAAAAAGCAAACAGGCTAATTAATGTAATGAAAGTGAAGATTTGTGTCGTGCTCATACATTATTGGTGTTAAATTGCACTGTTTTGTGTTACTTTTTGTTTGCCAAAGACTGCCGACAGAAAATAAGTACATACTATTATTAACAGTGCTTGGAAGCTCACAAAATATGCTAAAGATATTAATATAATCAAACTCATAACATAAGCCTTTTCATCTAAGACTTCACATCAAAACTACCATCCCTAATTTCAAATGAAAGGCAAAAAGAAATTAATATATTTAAAATACCATCATCATCTTCAATCCGGAGTACAAAATAACGACTAGAATCCATAACTGATTCAACTGCAACTCCTGGATATGCATCAACCGGACTTTTAGCAAACAATTCCCCTTTAAAAAAAAAAAAATCTTTAATCAGATAAAAAAGTAAAATTAAAAATATCTATATTAATAACAGATGTACAAAATATTTGAAGCAAATATATAAAAAAATCAATGTGAAACAAAGTTTAATTTCTAATTATAAAAAATAACTGGGGTTCCAAATTAACTATACATGCATCACATTCTCACCCTTTTTTCAAAAATTGGTAATAAAATTAAAATACATTTATTTGGAATGACAAACACAACATTATAACACAAAAAATATGAGACAATGAAATTTTATGCAAATGTTAAAACTCCAGAAACAAATTCAAATTTTTGACATTGATAGGGAATGCAATCTCCCTTAACCTTCATATATGTACATACCAAAATGCAATTTCATATTCTCAGGAAAGAGGTTAATTAGTTTAAATTCCACTCCTTCACCACTATAATCTACAAAAGATTCAGACATCTATGAGATTTGATGGATAGTTTCCCCACAAAATCTTTGATTTCAATAAATTCATCAATCAGGTACACTAAATCATCAATCAAGTATACACATGTTACTCATTAAAAAAAAAAGCTCACATCTATAAATCCCTCTTAAAGTTTTATGCAGGACTACAAAACTGTATTTCAAAATTTCTGAAGTACAAACAGAAGTTCTTTTCAACATGTGTAGGAGGTACGTATATTGATCTTTATCCCTTATCTAACCGTCGGACCCTGCATCGCAACAACAATTACATTCCCTGATTTCGGGAGAAATATTTGATATTCCTTGCTTCTTCCAGATCTATAGAACAACTTGTTAAGCTCAATGACAAGTTACCACTGAAGAGAACATAAGCTTGTTGTTGTAGATTCCAGTGTTGATGCTCTCTGCATCAGTTCAGGTTGGTACTTTTTTGTAAAAGATCTGTGAAATAAACTTCTGTCTTTCTGACATAAAAGACTTTCTCATGAAGTTTTCTGTATTCTAAAGCTCCAGTGCCAGTTACAAAGCTCCATTCAGCTGCCTAGTAGTCAAGCTCCAACAGCAGTGAGTTGTCATGGACAGAAATCAATCTTGAGACACAGTTGTTTTCTTTCCAAGATCTGGACTTGGCATCATAGCAATAGTTCCATGTCCAGATTATTTTTAAATCAATCTAGAATTAGATTGTATAAAAAGTTAGATTTCATAAAATTGACTGTTGCCAATGATGAGAATACTCATAATTGGTTAACTGAGAATACTCATAAGTGGTAAACCAAGTTTACTTGCCAGCTATGAGATAATTCATTATCGATCATCTTACCTAAATTACCGAGTATAAGAACTGAAGTAGTAAATGCACATAATATTTAGGCATTTCGCAGCAGGAAGGGATTAAATAATACACTTGGCATTCTGAAATAGATGATTTATTTCTCAAAATGCAGTTATTGGATCATTTATTTTTCAAAGCTATAACTAAATGTTTAGAGCACAAAACCTTTTTCTTTGTGCTATATTCACTGAGGAAATACTATAATCGGACTGCTCGGAACTAAACTTGTTGATTTAGTTGAGTTATTTTATAGTTACCACAGAGAACAAAAATATTATTTCATATATGAACTATGAGTACACTCATGTGAATTTAGTTACTACTAAATGTAATCTACCATACATGCTTTTAACTAATAAAATAGAAAATAATTTAAAGGCATAAAACTGCAAACAGAATTTAGGCACATAGTGAACAGACATACTTAATCAACTTTGGCAGCAAATGTGTTAAATGTATAAATGAAACGTTGTCAATCTTTGCATCATTTAAAACATTTTTGCAATTGGAAGACGAATATGTCTTCAACCAATGGTTGTGAAATAAAGGCTGGATAAGGACTTTTGTGGACATTGTATGTATGTGTGTATAGTCCCAAAGGTCAGTTTGAGTCTAACATCAATGGTGGCATTAAGTATCATCATTTCAACAATCTTTACAGAAGTCCCTGTATTCTTCAATATAAATCTTGAAGAAAAACATATGCATAAGAAAACTGATGATAAGGTGTACCATACATGAAGAGCAAAATCTTTCTCAGTCAGTCCCTCCCCTCCCATGAATCAGCAAAAGTTCCATTCATTCAAGTTACCCCCCCCCAAAAAAAAAGTACACTGAAAAATATTTTTATTTTGTTCTTTTATCATCATATTGAGACAATCTGCTCTGGCTGGATTTAGTTACCAGCCATTATTTAAAAAACACTGTAAGCTACTTTAACTGGAAAATTAATTTTGTATCTAAATTGAATAATGCCTCTAAAATATTCCAAACTAAAGGTATCACCAAGCTTGGTACATTATTAAAAGTAAGTATTTCAATAACAGTATTAAGTAACCTAAAATCTTAACTTACTGCAAGTGAATTTACATTCGACTATTAATGGCAGTTTCTAAAAAATCAGTTCGTACGTGTAAAAGTACAATTAAAATACATCTTTTTAAGACAGGCCAAAAAGGAACTTAATAGAACAATTTAAATGTGCACACCACAAAAAAAGTAATTGAATGATATTCTAATGTAAGTTTTAGTTTTGCGTGAATTTAAGCATTGACATATAAATATCTCAACATTCTCTCATGGAATACTCTTTACTGATACAGGCACAGAATGAATAATTTGAATAAATTAGTTTCTTTTTGAATTAAATAAAGCACTACTTTAAATTCCTTTTCAATGTAATTTTTTCAAACGGGGAACTAAATCATCAATGATAAGCGATGTTAATGAAATTTCCTTCAATATCACGGGACCATGCACACAGATCAAAATCAGTTGAGATTTGTTGATACTACAGCAATAAAATGACAGAAAATTAATTTATGGTATTCATTTCAAAGTATTTTAAATATATTATACAAATTTATTTTCTTTAAGTAAAACCAATTAAATTATCTGTTACTCAAATGGCCAATAAAATAAAATTTTTAACCACTTCCCTTATAAATTTCTTTGAAAAAAATTGCAAAAAATTATCACTTTTTTTTAAATTTTATTATTAAATACAAGGAAACAAAACAAAATACGTAGGTTTCAAGTTGAATTCTTAATTTTTTACAGGTGTAAAAGCATTTAGTTTTAATATTAGTTTACTATCCCGAGTTATCTCGGGCAAATGAAAAATTTAAATATTAGTCTTTGTAGGAGAGTTTCTGAGACAAGGGACAACACAAAGTGATACCTGACATTCTGTGCACTGGTTATCTGGTCTCTTTTCTTACTGGCTTACCTCTGGAATCTTTTTTATGGAAGTACACTGTCTCGTTGGATTTGATTTTCTTTCGGTAGCAGGAATAACATCTGGAAAATGTCCACCTGTTCATAATCACAATCTGACTAATCAACACTTTCACTATCTTGCATCACTGCCATTATTTACTTTTTTCAATGCAACTATTCTTTATACATTACTAATGCACAAACCGACACATACAATACAATAGGGAAAACATGTGACCAGTCTCGCCAAAAGAGCTGCAAAATCAATAAAACTTGGCAAACTGCCAATCAAAGCTGAATATTTCCTTTCATTTGAGTAAAACTGTGGTAAAACAAATCGTACTGACAAAATCTGCTTCGCCTGAGTTTTCTTGGGATAATAATTAACTGCGATATATACGAACCCGAGATAACTCGGGATAATCAGGCAAGCGGTTAATTAAAAAATAATAAAGCAAATATTTGCTTATTTTGGTATAAACTTAGAAATATCAGTTTTTACACATGACTAATCATACATTATAAAATGTAGTCTAAAATCTAAAACAGATTTTTCTATTTATTGGAATAACATGTTAGATTTTGTTTAGAAATGATTAACTGAAAGTGGTGCTTTACTTGAAGCTCATTGCTATTTAAAATATGGAATAGGTGGAGAGTCAATGTGCTGGCCATATCAGAACTTCTTCCCCTGTGTGTTTAAAATAGCACAATATTCAACATTTTAACACCAAGTTTTGCAAATAATTTAAAACTCACATTTTTCAATAAGTATAAAATTAGAAGCACTTTTTAACAGAGAACTTAACAACTCATATTTGGTAAAGTTCTTAAAATCTTATTTGGTATATGGGTGAATTGCCTCATGTAGAATGACTAACTTTCTTCATAAAAATAACTGAATTTTTAGTTACAGCCATAAAAAAGTCAGAAATGTAAGTCTCTCTTCTTTTACCTATCCAAAGCCAATCTTAATCCAACTGCTACTGATGGAAGCTACCTAGTGAACAGATGAAGAATTTCCAATCATAAGAAATCAAAGAATGATTTGAATTCTTCTCTTCTTTAAAAGGCTAAATGCTTAAATTGCAACAAAATAAAAATTGTCTGACTGAGGTTTTTTTGACACATTAATGAAGTCTCATCCAGTTCTCGCAAGAGCATTTGATAATTTATTGGCACTGTCTGTGCTTCTGTACCTAAAGCTGTTTCGGTGTATAGTAAAGATAACAATAACTCACAAGCAATATATACACTGCTCAACATTGAAAATGCAACACCAAGAAGGAGTGTTTAGAAATTTATGCAAATTTTAGAGTAGACGCATGTCACTGAGTTATGCGAATGATGCCAAATGCACAGCTCTCCGACACACATGAAGTAAGATATAAGGGAAGGAATGTGCAGAATGGGCAATATTCATGTCGTTATTTCTGCCAGACGAATTATCAAAGAAAGTTGGATTTTGTCCCGGAGGATACGTGTAATAGGAGAGAATGCCAGGCCGCCGGCAACGAAGGCACTTCCAGCCAGATAGACGATTTTACGAGGGGTATGGTGATCGGACTGAGAAGGGCGGGTTGGTTCTTACGTCAAATAGCAGCTGATACCCACATGGATGCAAACATGGTGCATCGGCTATGGCGAACATGGTTGGAACAAGGAAATGTGGGAAGAAGGAGGGGTGCAGGTGCAGCCAGAGTGACATCAGCACGAGTGAATCAACGCATCCGCCGACAAGCAGTGGCGGTCCCGAAAGTCACT